AACCAATATCCCCTGTTTCCACATTTTACATCTTGGAACAATGCTGATGGGCAAGACACACTTGTTTCTCTAATTGATGGAGTCAATGTCCTCATTCTTACCTATTGAGGTCAGGTTCCTGAAGGTTTCCCACATCACATCTCTGTAGAGTTTCTTCTGTGAAGGATCCAGTAAAGCCCACTCCTCTGGGGTGAAGTTCACAGCCACATCCTCAATGGCCACTGAGTCCTAAAACATCATAAATATGTGTAGAGTAGGATGCATAAGTGCAACAGCAGTGGGGACCTATTCTTCATTTGTAGGAAAGTTACATGTGATTCTCATCTCCAAACACTAATTCTATGTCATGGTCATCAAAAACTCAGCTTTTCTGTACACATATTGTCATCAATTTAAAAGCATCATGAACACGTGGAAAATACACATTTTAATGTGATCACATAACATTGTATTTTTCTCTATTCACGGGGTCCAGAGAATCTTGGGCAATGACAGAAATTTCAAACAAATGAAACCAATATTATCCTTTAAAGGCTGATGGTTCCTTGTGAGAAAAATTCTTTCATCTTCTTCCTTATTACCCACCAGTTATAGCACTTCACGAGGCAGAGGGTCAAATCTGCAAGAGATTTCAATGGACAAAAACATAGTGAAGAACTGGAAGCTCCTTTGTCTAGTCCAGTCACCAAACAGAGAGGGCAGGAGGCCTGTAGAAATCAAACTTTTAACAAAGCCCAGCTGCCCACATTGTCCTAAAGTACTCCAGGCCATTACAAGTAATCAGAGGCAGCTGGCTGAATGTAAATGTACTTGTGAGGAAGCACTGCTTTTAACTTGTGTAGTATTTATTATAGACTCAGTTCTTCCCTTCCCTTTATATATGATTTGATGGGGCTAAAAACTTATTTGGAACTTAGAGCTCAGACAAAAGTAAGAAGGCATGACAACTTAGACCATAAAGTCCCTATATTCATGTGCCCCAAAGCTAGTTCCCACCAATTTTTACAACAGACGGTGAGATAATAATGTACCATAAGAGCTCTTCTAGCTCAAACCCTAACAGCGGACCCTGGGCCTTGCTGGCCTCGAGGGGCAGGTTAAGAGCTGCAGACTGCAGGGAGTTCACAATGGTTTGATGGTAAATTTGCCCATGATTACAAAATATGTGAAGGATTTAACATTGCTTCCCTCTGAAAGAACATAAAATCCTAATTCTCTATCTTCAAGAGGAAGTGTTTCCTGACCAGACACTCTAGATGATGCCCTGCCAACTTCTGATCCCACATTTAAGGAACTTAGAAGCTGTCATTCTTGATCTCACAAGAAGAAAATGAACAAACTTGAAATGAACAACTCTTCTTAGATCCATGATATCCTTGAGGTCATATAGCAAGCTAGTGTCTCCATAATGGGGAAAGAGAAAAAAAAAGATGGCATTCTGAAATATGCCCCAGATATTCTGTACTTATCAAGGCCTGTGCCAAACAGAAAATCTATTTCACAAGAGTCTCATGCAAAGACAAAAGGAAAGAGACAGAGAACACAACATTCATGAAGCCTAGGGCAACCCTCTCTAACAGAAGGTTTTAAAAGATATATTGCGAATACCTAAAGGAAAAGAAAGACAGAAAGAAACAGAACAAACAAGTGAAGTAATAATCATCAAAATAACCTTAAGTTAATGATAGCCAGCAAACTCTATATCCAGGAAGCTCAGAGAACACTAAACATGATAAATTACAAAAGTGCACACCCAATGATATCATTCAAACTAGAGAAAAATCAAAGACAGAGAATGTATTGAGACATGCCAGATAAGAAACACACCTCAGGTATAAACAAACAAAGATTTGAATTAAATTGGACTTCTCTTCAAAAACCACGCAAGAAAGAACAGAGTGAAATATTTAAAGTTTTGAAAATAAAAAAATACTCTCTTAGAATTCTCTGTCAAGCAAAATTATCCTTAATAAACAAAGGAGAAATAAGGACTTTCTGAGACAAAAACTGAAGAAATTTGTCACGAGTACATGTACTTTGAATGAAGTGTTCAAAAATTTATCAGAAAGAATGTAAACAATAAAGATAGAGGATTAGAAAAAGAAAAAAAGAAGGTAAGATATATTTTATATTTCTTATAAAAAATGATACTTTGTTTAAAATAATATTAGCAACAATGTATTTGGTAATGAGAAGCTTATGGACAAGTGAAATAAATGACAGCTATGTGACAAGGGACAGGGAAGGCAAAATTGGAAATAGTGTGTTAAGAGCTACATGCACAACATGAACTGGTATAGTGTTATTCGGCAAAGGAGGTGCGTTAGTTGTAAATGTATGCTGCAAAGTCAAGGGCAGCCACACAAAAAAATGTTTCTTAAAAAATGTGTAACTGATATGCTAAAAGAGGGGGAAAAATAGAATCAGAGCAAATGCTCAATTTCAGCCAGAGAAAGTGGAAAAACGGTGGAAGACAAAAAGAAAAAAACAAAAAGGGTAAAAATGGAAAACAGTAAAAGGTTTGGAAAATATTAATCCAACTGTATCAATAACCACTTTAATCATCAATACTCTCAATATAATTGAAAGACACAGTAACATCAGGTTTCCAAACATACAATTATACGTTATCTACAAGAACTATCTACAAAGAAACTCACTTTAACTATACAGACATTGATAGATGAAGGGTAAAGGGATGGAGAAAAGTAGACCATGCCAACACTAATCAAAAGAAAGCTGCCATAAGTATATGATTTAGAGACAATGCAGATTTTAAACCAAGGAAAATTCAGGGATAGAGAGGGGCATTAGATACTGACAAAGGGGTCTATTCTCCAAGATGGCACAGCAATCCTTCATGCGTATGTGAATAACAACAGAGGGGCAAAATACATGAAGCAAGAACTGATAGAATGCAAAGAGAAATAGATGAATATAGTAGTATAGCAGCAGAATTCAACACCCTTTATTATGAACTATGAATTCCAGCGGGCAGGAAATGAGCAAAGAAAGAGGTGAACTGAACAGCACTATGAAACAACTGGACTTCATTGTAATGTATGGAATACTTCATACAAAAAGAGCAGAATATACATTCTTCTCAAGTTCACATGCAACATTCAGCAAGACAAAGCACACTCTGGGACAGAGAGCACATCTTAACAGATTTGAAAGAACTCAAATCATACAAAATATGCTCTCACACCACAGAGGCATTCATCTAGAAGTCAATAACAGCAAGATATTTGGAAAACCCCCAAATACGTGGGGATTCAACAATATACTTCTAAATAATATACAGTATCAAAGAAGTCTCAAGGGAAATAAAAACATATTTTTAACTAAATGAAATAAAAACACAACATACCAAAGGTTCTTGGATGCAGCAAAACCAGTGTCTAGAGGGAAATTTACATCATTGAACAAATACACTGGAAAAACAAAAGATCTATAATCAATAATGTAAGCATCTACCTTAGGAAATAATAAAAAGAAAACAAAATTAAACGCAAAGGAAGCACAATTAAAGAAATGTTAAAACTTAGAAAAGAAATCATTATCATTGTGGGAAACCAATGAAGAAAATTAAATGGTTCTTTGACAAGACAAATAAAATTGATGAACCTCTAGCGAAGATACCAAAGAAAAAATGGATGACAGAAATTACCAATATCAGAAAGGAAAGGAGGGGGAAATGAAAATAAAAAAGGATTTGATAAAATCCAACATGCATGTATGATAAACTAGTAACAGGGGGGAACTTCCACTTGAGAAAGAATATCGTCACAAAATCTGTAGCTAAATTTACAACATTTGTTGCATACGACATGAGTGTCTCTGTGAAACATCTGAGAGAATTCATAACAACAGAAATAACTCCTGGAATTAATAAGAGAGTATAGAACAGCTGAAGGATAAGTGAGCCAATTCCTTTCCATATAGACCCAAACAAACATAGTCAACAGATCTTTGAAAAAGAAGGAAAGGCAATTCAAATGAAAAGGAAAGCCTTTTAAACAAATAGTAGAGGAAACAATGGATACGCACATACCGTCACACACACAAAAAAACGAATGTAGACACCAGCCTTACATCTTTCACAAAAATTAACTCAACACACATCACAGATCTAAATGTAAAATGCGAAAGAAATAAACTCCTAGAAGATAACATAGGA